CTGTTGTCTCCTTGCTGGTGTGGGGCCCCGAACCCCGGACCGCGGTGGTGGCGCGTTCCCCGGGATGACCGCGGCCGCTGCCCGGTGATTCAACTTGACTCCAATTGAGTTTCTTCCCGGTCCAGTCGCCGCCCTCCCTGGGGTCCCGGGGCCCGTGCTCGGATCTGGAAGGAACCTGCAGGCACCCTAGTTTCCTGGTAGCCGCCACCTCACACCTCCTCTCGGTAGAGGAACGAAGTTAGCGAGGACTAAACTTAAGACCAACACCTTCGGCTCTAGCATGTCATTGGATCCTGACGCTGGAGGCTTAGCTGCTCCTGCTCCCCCATCAGCACTTTCGTTTCCTCTGTCCTTTTTCAGGGTAATAGGTTTTGGAGGTTTCAGAGTAACATACAGGCGACACAACTGAATCCGCCTGTTTCCTTGGAGCCCACAGCAGGCAGTGTAGTTCTCCTGCTGGTAGATTTCATTTGACCTGACGGGCTACGTCTTGAGGATGTGTAGTTCCCATTTCTATGGATTACCCTTGCTTCACATTTAAGAATAAGCAGATGTAATACCACTATTCTATTTAACGGTAGGAAAGGAGTCGAAGTTTAGTTTATTCATAAATACAGTGGTGCAGGTAGGAATATTTGGGGGGGAGGGGGAGACAAACAAACGAATGCAATGTTATGACCTTTTAGACTGGTGGTTTAGGTAATCGGGCCAGAGAATAAATTGTTTTACAAGACCTTCTGTGAATAAAATCTCATCTTATTTCAGAAGCTCAAAGCACTTAAACTCTTCCTAGAATCGTTCTTTTCTGGAAGCAGGTGTTGCAGTTTGAATTACAGAAGTGAGTTACAAGGTCAAGGCAGTGGCCTTTGGAACTAGGGCCTGTTTCCTGATTCCCTTTCCTCTGGGTTGGACTGTTACTGAGACTCGCTGGCAATTCTGATTTGGGGAGGGTTCCACCTGGAACCCAATGTTGATGAACTTGACGTAACACAAGTTACAGAGCCCTGGTAAGAACATACTGCAGGATATCCTGAAATAATTAATTCAACAGTGATTTCAGGAATGACGCTTTAGAATCAATGAGATGACATCCCCTTTATTTTTTTCCTACCTTTTATAGTCGATAGAACCAAATGAGAGTCTGTCATAGAACATACTTGTCAAGGAATTACACAAACTATAACAGTTGCCAGCTTCTGAAGGTTGATGTTACAAGGCTAGAAACAGTGGGCTGTGAGAATAGTCTTTGTGAAAACTGCCTTGGAAACTAGACCAAAAATAGAATTAATTAGGTTGGGATTTGTTGTGCTTCAGCTCTGGCTAGAACCAAGGAAATACCAGCTCCCCCTGTGTGGACTTCCTTAACTAGGAGAAACGAACACGCTTTTAATAAGAGAAAACATGTTCAGGAAGCCATGCATACAATAACTTTTGAATTAATGTAGTTTCTTAACACCCTAATACATTTGAAATGGAAACTATTTCTAGGGTTGGTTTGACTCATTAGAACTGTTGTCTCTGTGACTAGGTTACCTCGCTGCGTATTTATTTATTTGTTTGTTTGTTTGTTTATTTATTTATAAAAGCCGCACTGTAGGTTTTCATCAACACGGACCCAGCTGTATTTTGTTTTCTGAGAGTGGACATTGCCATGTGTAACCTCTTAGGATTTCTTAGGCAAGGATGAGCATTGGCACATTGTGTCTAAAATATTGCTATACCTGTAGCGTTCACCACCAGGAACTCTTGTCTTGGCAGGCGTTGAGACATTGAACTCTATCCTCTGTCTGTGCTTTCTTATCAGGGTGTATATTTGAATGCATCTGTATTTCCAGGTCAAGGGCTATTTTAAAATCAGTTTGCACATCGGAGGCTGGTTAATATTTGGACCATTTAAGCTCTTTAAGTGCCTTCTCTGTTCAAGTTGCAGTAAAGGCAAAACACTTGGGGAATTCATGAAAGTGGTGGAGGAGGTGTCTTATACTAGTATTCTGCGATTATAGTACACTCCCATGCCATTTTGTAGTCTTTTTATAATGGTGTTACTAACATGACATTCTCATTGTTCAGGACCAAGAGACTTAAGCTGAGAGAGGCTCTGTGCTTAGGGGAATTAACAGATGGAAAGTGCTTCTTACCTGCATGGGAATGTTTTCTATGTTAAATGCTGGATAAATATTTGAAAGATGACAAGACCACCCCTTCAAGGACTCCCAACCCCCA